GCCAAGGATCTCATGGCGATGGACTCGGAGGGAACCAGTGACCCATACGTCAAACTCAGGTAAGAATTGTAATGTGCGTGCAATTTCGCAACGAAGCTATGCTTTTTTGTTTATATAACCTATCATAAAAACAGAGACATTCTGGGCCTAAAGAAAATCACACATAAACATAGCGGCATGCAGCAACTGCACAGGGCACAGCCCTTCCACGACGGAGCTACATAATTAACAGAAGGAGCCTCGGGTGGCATCATTACATTAGCCTGCATGTAGCCCTTCCCATTACAGGTCCATCTAATTAGCAAATTAATCCTCGGCCTTAGCGTACTAGTCTGATGACCTCCGGTATGCGTGCTGACCCCCCCCCCCCCCTCCGCCCTTCCCTACCCCTCCCCTCGGACAGGCTGGGTGCCGAGAAGTACAAGAGCAAGGTACAGGACCGCACGCTGACGCCTCGCTGGCTGGAGCAGTTCGACATGCACCTGTACGACAGCGGCTCGCAGATCCTCGAGATTGAGGTGTTCGACCACGACGCGCGCAGCAAGGATGATTTCATGGGAAAGTGAGTGGTCTGGTCTGGAAGGGCTGGCAGGATTTGGAGGAGGGAGGAAGGTCTGAGGGGCTGGGCTGTCATACGGCAGGGAGGAAGGGACAGGGGTCTGGGAGACGGTGAGAAGTCTAGGCGGGATGCTGGAACGGGAAGGGACTCCGTTTTTAGAAGGATCGACGTAGGTAATGGATGCAATTTAAATGGAATGTGAAACTGATAAGCGAGCGTGAATGCTAAATTGTAGGCATTGGTATCGTTGAGTCGTACCTCAGCTATGCTTTTTCGCAGTTTCCTTTCTTTTGATACGTTTTGATGCTACTTGCTAATTAAAATCCTATCGTCAATAGCTGTGCCCTGTAAACTCACCCCCTAGTGACTCTACCCATGCAATGTATTTCGCAGGACGACGGTGGACATCTCGAAGCTGGAGCGCGAGAAGACCCACCGTCTGTGGTGTGAGCTGGAGGACGGCGCCGGCTCTGTGTTCATCCTGCTGACCGTGTCCGGCATGACCAACGTGGAGACCATCTCGGACCTGCTCACCTACCAGGAGGACCCCGAGCAAGTGGACACCATCCGAAAACAGTTTGTGAGCGAACACAGAGCGAGAGGAGGGAGAGAGCGTCTAGGGGGAGAGAGGGAGCAGAGGGATTGGGTATCGCGAGGGGTGGAAATGATTGGTGCAGGAGGAACTTATGTGGATTACTACTAAGTTTAATTTGGGGCATATTTTTGCAGGCGTTACTTGAGAGCGGAGAGACTAAATTTCCGGCGGTCGCTTACCATTTCACTTTGGGTAGTGGTTGAAATTTATCCAGACTGTGACATTTCATACAGCCGTGAAAGTACCCGCAATTTCCTGGAAGTGTACACCGGAGCGATATTTGCCCGCCCCGTAGCGCCGCGGGTAAGCCAGCTGGCGAATATGTCACACCACCATCGTCCGAGCCGCGGCACGACCCAGGGACCAGCACCGGCGCGGCGGCCGGTGTCATACGGCGGGACGTGGTCGGTCGGTGCGGCCCCCAGGGGCGCCAGGGGTCATATTGGACTGACCTGACTGGCACCCGCGCCCCCGGGAGTCGGTCGTGGCGACAGACTGCTGGTGACATTTCCCGGTGCCGGCCGTTTCGGGTTTTCATGGCATCCTGGCGGTGTCGTATAGAGACGACCTGACTCGGCAGAGACGACCTGCTGTAATTTAATGACGCTCACGGCTGGGCTGGGGAGATTAAGTGGGTTTTAATTGAAACACTGGGTTATTTAGAATGCAACGAGACTCCCTGAGACATGCATTTGTATTCGGACGGTTCATGACATTTGACAGTTCGTCCTTCGTTTGTTTGATCTGGCTTATCAATATGCGAGTCACATTCACACTTACATGGAACTTGAAAATGCTCCCATTCTTGTCAGTCGGGTAAGCGCAGCGGCTCGCAGTAAAATGAAGCTCTCTACTCTCCCGTTTGGAAGTTCCCACCTGACGTTGCACTGTTTCCGCTGTTACAGAACCTGCGGAACACGCTGAAGCAGGTGAAGGAGGTTGGCCACCTCACGGTGAAGGTGTTCAAGGCCATGGGTCTGGCGTCGGCCGACATTGGCGGCAAGTCGGACCCTTTCTGCGTGTTGGAGCTGGTCAACTCGCGTCTACAGACGCAGACAGAGTACAAGACCCTGTCGCCGCAGTGGAATAAGATATTCTTCTTGTGAGTCGTGCTCTGTCAGTTATGGGGTTTGGGAGGACATTTGATATTCGCAAACAGCCGCTAGCTCTTTATCGTACTCCTAGAAAGTCCGTAGTTATGTGTGGGCTATGAGCTAACCGGTTGTACCCTTTTATAGGACATTTATCGCATAACTTACCTGAATTAAGAACTACGTTGCGATGTAGTCCGAAAAACTTGATCGTGGTAAGACTGAATCAACGGTGAGACCGAGAGTAACAATGGTAGACGAGCATAGATCGATGACCTGTGCTGATCTTTTGCAGCAACGTGAAGGACATCCACAGCGTGCTGGAAGTAACTGTGTATGACGAGGACAAGGACCACAAGGTCGAGTTCCTCGGGAAAGTGTCCATCCCTCTGCTAAAGGTAAAGACTAATCGAGCTTCTTAAATTATATAGGTAGTGTATGTCTCGACAAAGGTAAAGACGTGTCGAATTCCTCGTAAAAGTATTAATCCCTCTGCTAAAGATTAGGCTGTGCTAGATTGCTGTGATTCCTGCATGTAACATTTTGCTGTTTGTTTACGGAGCTGCCGAAGTGTCAAACGGGACCGCTAGTTTACAGTATTATCTGCAGAGGACGCGCTGCCTGTTGCCGGTCCGTTTATCCGATAGGAGGCCGTCGCTCTGTCTGTATCGGGCCGGTCGCAGCAGCTCAAATCCCACCACGGACGATGTGTGTCTCCTCCTCAGATCCGACCAGGAGAGAGACGATGGTACGCGCTCAAAGACAAAAAGCTGCTGGGCAGAGCTAAGGGCAACAACCCTCAAGTGATGCTGGAAATGGACTTAGTCTGGAACCCGGTAAGCACTAAGGAAATGGTTTTAGTCTGGAACCCGGTAAGCACGGAGCAGTACATATTGGCATAATCGTAACTGTGTCTGTTACGCACACCGTCCTTTTTCGTATGCTATTGGATATTGCTTAGCACATAACTATTTAGGCCTGTTACTGTCTAAAAGCCAATCATTAAACGTCTTTCTTTCTTTCTTTTTGAAAAAGGAACGGAAATAAATATGTCGCTTACTACTTTTGTAGGAATATGTATCCACAAAACACCTCCATTTGACATATTCTCCATTTGGCACTCATAATTATTTCAGACAGCACCGCAGCTCGAGTCTTTGGATATATGTAATCGGTTTAAGCTGTCTGCCTGCTGAACTTTGATAGACCAACCCGGGCCACTCGCTGCGCTAAAGCGCAGCGAATGATGGAATTTAATCATCGAGTCTGCTCAAGCCGGGATAAATCCCGGCTTGAGCCGCATGGTGTCATGTGACGGCTGGCACAGCCATGCTATCTTAGAAAGCGTGTACGGAAATAGGGTCGCTGATAGCGGGAACGTCATAACGTCATATCGTAGTTCATCGCAGCTATTACCGTTCATCGTTTGTACTGAGCATGTCTGCATACATTATGCAGCCTGAAAATCAATATCACTTTACCTAAGTGGGTGGAGATGGTAGGGAGGAAGCCAAATAGCTACATCCTTATTTTCATCGCAGAGAAAGGAGCGGTCGACCGCCGCGGTCCGGTAATCTATACCGAGGGTTAGCGTGGCTCGCCCTAGCCGTTTATCCTTTCCTACGAAAGTGGATTCCACAAACAAAACACCCGATCCTGGAGTATTGACAGGTCGTGATGGAGCGCCCCTCCAAAGAGCAGATAACAGAACCGGTGCGGCCCGGCTGAGGGTGTTTGTACTCCAGCAGCGCGCGATCGAACCTCCTCATGTGGTGATTTGTTTTTCGCCAGGGAGAATCTCTGGTTATGAATATATTGCGTTGCTCCTTATTTCAGGAAGATAAGTCTCAGAATACTTCTAATAATTGTCGATGTGACTGTTGCTATATAACACTAGAAAGTGGTTGGTCAAAGCGTGTGTCTCACTGATTACAGGAATTCAGGAAATCTGATATCCTTCCTGTACATGGTCGCTGTCTTCCGGTTTCTTTACGTTTCTTTCTTTGCTTTTTTGGTTGGCTTTCACTGGACAACGACTTGCACAATGCTCGTACGTCAACGCTGCCACCTCTTTGTCTTGATGTCCCTAATTTCCTGTCATTTTCATCAATGATGTGGCTTTTCCTTGCGCCGACGTTACTAGTTACTGCTGTTGACGTTCTATTTTGTTGACATCATTTATTTACCTTCAGGCACGGGCAGCGATTCGCACGTTCAACCCGCGCGAAGAGAAGTACACCAGGCCAGAACTCAAGTTCAAGAGGGCAGTCTTCATCAGAAATGTCAACCGGCTCAAGGAGATGGGCGCCGGCTTTGCCGAAGGAGCAAAGTTCATCAAGTCGGTTCACTGATCACACAGCCAAAGTTCACTGACGCTGAACTCTGTGTGAATATACAGGGTGTCCCAGAATTGACCGAACATTTATTTCCTGGCTAAAAGTACGATTGCGCTCGATTCTAATTAGATACGAGCATTATACTTTTATAAGACATATCATAGCTATCGAGCTTGGAGACTGTGTTTTTGATGACCGGTCACGACTCGAGTCAGTTATTATCCAGAGTCAGCAAAGAGTAGTCCCTTTTCGTTTTCAGCCTCAGCAACCAAAAGGCAATCATGGTGAATAAAGTGCAATTCTGAAGTTCGTAAACGGACTTTCGGCATGGTTCTTGCTGAAGAGCTCCAGTAGCTCATTTGCAATCAGGCAGGGATGAGCAAATCGCAGTTATATCAGCGAGCGAAGCCAGAGAGAGCAGGAGATTACCTGATCGAAAAGCCTGGGCGCGACCAAAAAGGAGCATGCACCAGTCGTCAAGCGGCTGGCTGCCATGTCATGGACAACAAACTTCACCCATCTACCCAAAAACAAGCTAAACGACAGATCAGGGCTAGCTACGAAACATCAGTCTACTTTTGACCACTATCTTCGACAAAATTTTGGAATTTGGGGCCCCTCATCTGAAAAATATGCCAAAACTAACGGAAAGACAGCGCAAATCGCTACAAAGCAGCAATAAATCATAACATATGCAACAAAAAAGTGAATGGAAACACACTTTGTGGTCCTACGAAGGTATTCTGCCCTTTGAAGCGACAAAAAAGTCGTGTGTGGACGACAGATGGTGACAACGCCCCAACAGCGGAGACGGCCAGGCACTCGTCGAAAATCAAAGTGTGAGACATTTTGAGCCACGGTGCACTCATTCAGCTTGATACGATGCCTCAAAGACGACCGTTAACACAGATTGCTACTGCGGTAGCATTCAAGCATTACAAAAACTGGTTGTCGTGAACTGAATGGCCATAAACGGGTTTGTTCTGGAAACCAAATCTGTTGGACTCCAAAGGTCACACCATGTTCAGACATGGAGGTTTTCCACTTCAGATGTCAAAAAAAAAAAACAAAAAAACAGCGCAACAGCGGTGTAGGCAGAATTTTTGGTTTTGGGAGAGAATGCCTGGGAACAGTTTGGATGCAAAGTTTATCGAAAATATTTATGGTATCCACCGGCAAGAGGTCAATGAAACCCGTCTTACAACCAGTTTCGGGAGATCCGTAAAACGACTCAAGCCAGCATCGTCTGGCATTTAGCTACAATTGCCGGCTAATGTTGTAGCTTGCGTGTCTATTGCAAGTGCCATTTCGAAGCTACCCTTACTGGCGGTATCGGACGATGAAAAGAAAAAAGTGCAATTGATTTTCCCGTATCATATGTACTGATTAACAGTGTTCGGTCAATTCTGGGACACGCTGTACATAGCAACTAAGTCGTACAGATGTCATGTCCACTCACATAGTCCATGCGTTGATGCTCAAATGCTTCTCATTTCTACGTACTTACGTTACTTTTGACTTGTTTTGTCGTCACTGTCCAGTCTCACTGGACGATGTGACACTAGCGACGCCCGTGATTTTAACATGACTCCATTTCTGCTACCGCCAAAAAGCCACCAGTCATACATGCCCCAACTGCACTGGGCAGCTGCTGTGCCTGTCATGTATATCAAACAAATGCACCATGTTTATCCACTCACACCAGTCTACTGTGTCTGTGTGCACAGGAGTATTTTCGACTGGGAGTCGAAACCACGGACGATAGCGGCCTTCTTCGCCTTCATGCTGGGCGCCTACTCGTTCGAGCTGTACATGGCGCCGGTCGCACTCCTGGTCGTCTTCTTCAAGGGCTGGGTGGTGAGTGACGTCAGGAGCTCTAGTAGTTGATTATTGGTAACTTCTGTTAATAATCGTCAGAGATAGCTGGAGTTTCTTTTGCGCAGCTAAGAAATCAAACACTGATGGTTTAAGAATATTCAATCTTTCGTAGAATCATAAGTGGCCCTGTTGTTACGTCTTAGATATGAAAAATACCGACGGATAAGATATTTAAGATATTTGATGAGCATGGGCATATCAGCAGAAAGTACCGATTTTGTTTTGTTTTGTTGGGTTAGGCCCTTTCGGTCCAATGAGACCCTTTCAGAGCCGGGAGGATGATAGGATGTAGGGGGAGACATTGGTCTGGGCAGGCACCCTAGTGAGTCGCCGGGGCTGAGCCCGTCCAGAGGACAGGCCACCCAGCCCCAAGACACTCACTGCACCCGGCTACGGGGTGCGCTCCCTCGGGAGCAGCGGTGCCGCTCCAATGGAGCAGCCCGCATGAGATAAAGTTGCCTGTCCAGCCCGGAGGGGGTTGTGGCGTGGAGGAGAAGGATTTCAGTATCCTGAGGATAGAAGCATGGAACGGTGCAAAAGTACCGGCTTGCTACCATCGTTTTGTGTTAAGGCTATCAGGTGTTCGTCGGAAGTGCCAGATCTGTACTTAGCTTAGCATTGCGTGCTTATGAAGCAATAAGTAAGCAATTCAGTCGCTGACTTTCAACAAGCTCTCAACCGACACTTATAAACTGCGACTTCTTCTGAGAACAACTGTTTAGCAGCAACACCGATCATTGAGGGTGCTGTCATTGAGGAGGGCCTGTCACTGAGGGTGCCTTTGTACCCGTGCTGGCGCCTTACCGATTGTAACTACGTGCTGACGTGCTCCTCAGGTGAACCTCGTCACCGCCGGCTTCCGTAGCGCCGACGACGACGACTACGTGGCCGACGACGACGACGAAGATGACGACAAGGATAAGGTGTGTGGCGCTGCTTCGACAGGCCATCCTCCCTCACGTCGTGTGTAGTTGTCTCTGTGTATCGGCTGAACCTTGTATTCCTTTTGCGCGCAACTGAGAGTGACTAACTCACTTCACCTGTCAGGGGAATGTGCACTAACCTCCACGCGACCCGACTAACTCATCCGGAGCACTGACTTTTGCCACTACTCGATGTCTTTTTCTCCGCTATTTGACTGTGTCTGAGCGTTTTTGGTAGACGGTGCAGCATGTCTGTGTGACCCTCACCTCACGGTATCACGGTTGCTGAGAAGCGAGGTGAGCTCCTGACTATCCAGACAGTCCTTTCATGTGCCGCTGTGTCCACAGGCCAAAGACAAGAAGAGTTCGGGAGATGTGAGTAGCGTTTGGTCTGACACTTTCCCAGCTGACCGGCTGCCGCTCGGCGCCGGGACAGGCCGGTTTGGTGGACGGTGGTGGGGCGTTTTCTGCAGCCCGCGCGGCTGCTGTTCAGTAGCTGGCTGCCCACAGTTTCCATTTGATGCATGCTGATTGTTATGCCTTGGGTTGCCGCTTATTATTGTAACGATTGGAACTTCAGTCCTGGCTTTTGAAGATGCAAAGAACGGGCGAGTGCTGTGGTGGACCCGTTAGCAAACACACTGTCCGTGATTTTCATTTTGTTTTACTCCGCATATGCCAGTAAAAGCATTGAAAGGGGCCTACATGCATTTACTGAACGATAAATAGGCTAGCAGTATTCCCTTATATCGGGTGCGGTACGACCTACTAGAAGTAAACAAATTAGATAGATAGTATATGGTAATAACATATATTTCATGCTATATATTTCATGTCTACATGCCAGAATATAACTAGAATCTAGTCAACATAATCCTGAGAATACAAGTAGGGTATAGTGACTTTCCTATCAATTTTCATGATATAATTTACTGTTATTTATGCTACCAATGACTTTGTTTTACGATTACGAAGCATTTTGAAGGTTGTGCATGCATTCAAGAAATCTATACGAATTTTATCCTTCAACGTTTTCGATGCATGTTTTTCTGGGTCTTATTACAGGGCAAATATACTCTTTCAGTTGCGTAGGGAAGTACAGCCACAGAAGGTCAAAAGTGCGGATCTATTTTATCTTGATGACCCATGGACATTCCCAGTCATTTTTAACTTTCCGCGCTGACGAATTACTACCATGATGTCACGCGCGGGTGATTTGTTGAGCCCCGTCATGGCCCCGTCCAAGCATTGTCCATTACAACGCCTCGTCTCATTTCCAAATATATCTTCTAACATGATACTCAGTCCCCATGTTCTACAACCCTCCCTGGCTGACTGTCAGGACCCCTATGTCGCTGCAGGACGAGAAGAAGTCGTTGAAGGAGAAGCTGATGGCGGTGCAGGAGGTGACGGCCATGGTACAGAACATCCTCGGCTACATCGCCTCGCTCGGCGAGTGTGTCCAAAAGTGGGTGCCGCTCAGAACCGACCGCACTGCCCCCTGTGGCGCTCAGTGTGGTGCTCATCGGTGGCTGTGGCTGGCCTGATGCATGGTATAACACTAAAATGAGATAGCATTCAAATGTGACGGAAGCTTTTGTGGATGGGCGGACTAATGAATTATGTTAGAACAATAAGAGTTTGACGGATCGGGCTGGAATATCCATTTGTATGATCGATGTTTGCTCCTGTAATGTCTGGTAGCCATTCATGGATTACCATGATACATATATTATTGTTCTCCTTCATCCCTCCTTCCTCTCCTTTTTCGCCTCATATCGCCCCGACCACCACCCACATCCCGCCGCCTCTATTATCCTAGCATCCTGTCATTACAATGAACCTCCGTGTCGCTAACTCACCACCTCACCTCACCTGCCTTGCACGTCTTCGCCACGACCGCTATATGCTTCAGCACCTTGCACCACCTCACGCCTTCGCCATGACCGCTGATTCTCTCAGCACCTACCCTCGCCTCACGGCTGCGTCACGCCCGCTGTGTGTTTCAGCACGTTTAACTTCACGGTGCCGTTCCTCTCGTGGCTGGCCGTGCTGGTGCTCTCGGTGGTGGCCGTCGTGCTGTACAACGTGCCCATCCGCTACTGGTCATGCTGTTCGGCGTGCACAAGTTCTCCAAGAAGCTGCTGCGCCCCAACGCCATCCCCAACAACGAACTGCTCGACTTCCTCTCGCGTGTGCCCGATAACGATCAGCTGGTGAGGAGACGGGGTCGGAGTGTTGGCAGAGGGGTCGGCAGGGGGTGTCGACAGACGCTTGTCTATATTGGGTATCGGCTAGTGGTGTCAATTTCAGAAAACGTATGTTTAATGTCCGTCCAATGTCCAATACTTACGTCGACTGTCCGTCCAAAAATGTCCAAGCCAGCCATTTGTCCAAAGATGTCCGACATCTACGCAATAGTTTACACTCAACACCGTTATTTGATTCGCTTTTAATGTATCGTTACCAGCTCAAAAGTGTTAATCATATGGAAAACTGAGCTTTCTAATGGCCAATCAATGTTAAACACGATTACTTTATAAAAAAAAATTGAGGTGTAGCAAGCGATTGTCCAAAGTTGTCCAAAGCCTGCTGTCATTGTCCAACCAAATTCCGAATTGGACATTGTACAAAATCGGAATTCCGAAGATTCAAGTTCCGATTGACACCACTAGTATCGGCAGGGGTGTAGGCAGTGAGGCAGGGGTTTCTGCAGGGTTGTAATTGTCGAGAGGGTATGTAGTCAGCAGGGGTATCGGCATACGGCACTGGGGGCGTCGGCAAAATGTATCGGCAAGGCTGAGCCCAGATGGGAGCTGTTGGCGATGCTGGGCCTAGCTAGGGACACGAAAATAAGTCTGTTAACGGGTTAATGATGCGACCACTGGGATTGCTAGATTATCGTTATATAGCTAATACTTATCGCTGCAAATACGTCATCAGCTAATATTGACATCCCTTCAATGCACTGCAAAATGCCACGGCGTGAACCGTAACTTGCGGGTACAGTCAACAGGTGGTGCTAGGATCGTTGGACCCGTCCACCTATGACCTCCGTTTCCATTTCGTTTCCGTTTCGCGCTGATTCCTGAGCTGCTCAAGCGAACGCATCAGCCACGCTCGGCTGCCGCTCCAACACCAAACAATAGCCACAGGGTGCCACTCTGAGCTGTGTTTGTGATCGATATCACCGTCTGAGTGACAGAAATGGCTCCTCGGAGACATATAGCCCGGCAAGCGCCGAGCGGAGTGAGAGTAGGACAATGCTATTGTTTCACTTCTGCGTCCATTAGTGAAGTGAAATGCATGACATTGTTAATGCCTGTATACAATTTGTTGTTTTTTACTGGTTAAATCGACCAACTTATAGCAACCATCAAGTTTTTGTAAAGCTATAACTCCTGGATAATAAATTTCACTTACCTTTAAAGACAAGTAAGATAATAAAAACATGCAAAGAAGAGGTGCAATTTTAGTTACAATCAGAATTGCACCCGTCTTTAACTGTAACTGACCTGTAACTGACCTGTGTGCGAGCTATGTCTCATCTACGTCTGACCTGAGACTGACGTGCTACTAACCTGTGACCGACATGTGACCGACCTGTGACCGAATTGTGACTGACCTGTGTTCGACATGTGACCGACCTGTAACAGAGTTGTGACTGAGACCTGTGGCTGACCTGAGACTGACGTGCTACTAACCTGTGACCGACTTGTGACTGACCTGTGTCCGGCTGTGTCTGAGACCTGTAACTGACCTGTGACTGAGCTGTGGCTGACCTGTGACTGACGCTCTCGCCCGCCCCCAGCGCCAGTTCCGCGAGCTGCGGCCGGCGCAGGTGACCGACGCTGAGCGGCGCCGCGAGCAGCGCATGAAGCAGTCGCAGAAGAAGACGTCCTAGGACGCCGCCGACGTCACCGCATCTCGCCGTTCGTCATCGTCATCATCATGCTGTCGCCAATTGTTGTGGCTTCCAGTCCGGGGCTCGCGGATCCTGGCACCTTTGTTAGGCTGAAGTTTTATCCACTCATTGCTCTCTTGCCAGTGGTCTGTAGGCATTGCGTTTGTGTGGAACGAGTGGTACGTCTCAGATCAAAGGATGAGTGGACGTAATTGCTCGCAGAGTGCATTTTAAGTGTTTCATTCGAGTGCATTTTTGTTACGTCCATGTACTTACATATACCATATCCGTTCATTTTATCTATTAGCCAGTTTTGGTTAGTCTCCTGGGTCTGAGAGCGGCAGTAAGAATTCGGCTAGGAGTCGCTATGTCGCCATAGTGTGGTCTGTAGTTGTGTGATGGTTTGTCATTTCAAACCAGGTTACTTGTTATGGGTCAGGACCTGTCTATACCGTTGATAAAATGCAACTAGTGTTTTTATCAGGGATTCGTGGGATTGAAGTGTATTATTTTTGTGGGTCTAAGTTGCGATGGATTTTTCATGTAGGCCAGTTTCAGTTTTTCCCTCGCAAGTAAGATAGATCTAGTCAATTTGCTTTGCATTTTATTTTTACTGAGTGGTTACCTGTTCCCGAATCGTTCCACTGAGTTTATGGAGTGAATGCCGAAACTCCGTAATTTTCTTCTTCTGGTACAAAATAGGCATCATCAGCCCATCGTTTTACTAAATCAGAGGATGATCCGTGTCAAGGTCTAAGACAGTCCATTCGGTAGTTGTTCAGTCATTCTGCTTAGCTTGATGTGTACGCCATTGTCTTTGGCTGTGCTCTCTTACCAAAGTTCTAGTCAGCCGCGGCCCTCCACGCCACTGTGTGGCGCAGACCCAATGGTGGCCATCAGTCGATAATCCAACGCCGGGCGGCGCAGTGACCAGCTCGCCGCTGCGGTACCTGTTGCCATGGATACTACGCTACTCGGTCGCCATGGTTACAACGACTGAGGTGTTTGTCTGTCCTCTGTCCGGTCCTCCCCTCCTCTGTCCTTCAGAAGGACGGTTAGGAGCCCTGTCACAGTGACGGTGCAGAATCCCTCTATGAGCGCACAGTGTGTACAATTATTGGGATAAGGGAACTGGAGTCTGGGCATTAGCGGATTTACCAAATGGAGCAGTACCTTTCCAGAACTACCGGGGGTTAAATTGAATGTTGGTCCTCTATCAAATTGCTAGCTTTACCTGAGGCTTGTGACAGTGGCAGGGCTGCCAATATAACTATGCGCTGGTAAAAAGTTAAACCATGCATTTGTAGAAACATGCTGATTGCTGTGCGTCTGCTATCCTCATGTTCAGTTGCATCATGTTTGTTGCTTCGTTAGCCAACCAACGATATCGAATACTTCTTGATATGCATTATGCAACTTATGAGTCTGGATCATATTTCTGGAACAGGTACAAGCCGTCTCGCATTTTCGCCCACCCCGCCTTAGCAGTCGGAGCCCTGTAAGTCGCCGTTATTCTTCATTTGCGCATTCTGTCCGCCATTATCCGTCCTTACGATACGGCGAGTGTTCTTGGTTCTGCTGAGTGAGTGTGCGGGCTGCTGCCGCCGCGACTTTTTCCTGTCTGGTGAGAGCTTACGGGCCATGATAAACCGAGCTGACAGACACTGCTCCAGCTGACAGGCGTGGTTCGATCGAGACGACAGATCCGGAACGGTACTGATGGACCCTGACTGAACCTATAGGTCATACCTCTATAGAAATATCATTCCAAAGAAGTGTGCTATTGTGATGTCTTTGCGCCCTTGGTTCCGGGATGGCAGTGCCTGGTGTGTGATTTGCGTGCCTTTGATTGTTATCGCTGTAGGGCGCGGTGCTATACAGTTCTGTCGATATTATTTGTGGACGACCTCTGTTGTCTGATTGTTCGATTGAAGGGACAGGTCCTATGGGAATTTAGTGTAAAGCCAAGTGTTGGTCAGTCTCTGAGCCCTAAATGATGGCAGCAGAATGAAAATAACAACGAATGTCGAATTCACCTAACAACCTCAAGATGTTTGTAAATGTTTGGAATACCAATCCTTCTCCAGCCCACTGGGACAGGGCTGGAATTGCCTCATTTATAGCCCGCAGAATACTTGCAGTTGCGTATATGAATCACCGGTCGGTCGGTATGGTTTCGGCTACCGTCCCGTGTAGGTGCGCGGGCGGCGCGTGCTGCTTCTGTTGACCCCCGGCGAGGGTCGGGGTCTGACCTGTGCGCCAGATGGACTGAAGCTGTGATCGGTGGGTGGTGGGATCCGAGGCCGGTGGGGTGAGGTGTAATGGTTTAGCCGTCGGTCGGGACAGGGACAGAACGACAGCCGCGTCGTGTGGTGATGTGCCGTTTGGTGTCTGTGCTGCCATACTGTATATCGAGACAATACATTGGAAAGTGGAAACGTACATCAACGCTAGTGTTTTGTAATGATAACGGACTGAAATCATATAATGGTCATATTCATGATGTTTTGCGTGGCAAGTACCAATAAAAACACTATCGGGTTGAAAAAAAGATAACGACGAAGTCATACATTCGGAGAATTCAGTTCATGAGAAATTTGTTACGAAAGAGCTCGAGCAGTCCTCTCATTGTATAGGAGCACTTTCAGTTGATAGGTACAGTAGGTCTACTAAAAAAGTCCCCCGCTCCAGAGGCGGCCGGCCGGCCGAACCCCCGGATTCCAGCCCCGACTCTATTGCGCAGGCCGCGGCAGTGACACGGGTCAGGTCGCGGCGCCCGGCGAGTGGGTCAGTTGGCGGCGGCCGGCCGTGGAGTGAGGACGCCGCGTGTGGGGCGCAGCGATGCCGCAGTGCAGAGGAGGGGAAGATAGTGACTGCACGATGCCGGAAATGATGCCTTTGTGATCTAAATTAAACACCTGCACTGCAGTGCATATCCTCCCTTGCCCCATTCCTATTATGTATATCATAATCCTTCAATAATCCGTAATGACCATTCAACGCAAGCAAGCAAACAAAACAACCCGTTTAGCGGCGACATCATCTCGGATAAAAAGCGACAGTGATGAATAGAATTGACTTAGCGCGAGGGCAAATCGAGGGGTATATATGTATCATAATTTATGCCGAGTATTTTATTCCCATCTAGCAAATTAGGATTGGGGATCTTGTCCAACAAGTCAGCGGCCGTTCTAGACACAGATAGATACTTTGTTTTCGGTCGCATCATTATCTGCAATAATTCGAAGCGAGGTTTAACCCTCGCCGGCCGAGAAAAAGGGGTGGATGCCGCCACCATGTTTTTTTTTTTTTTTTTGTGGGAGCTCAAAGCACACTGATGATAGAAGGCTGACATTTCATATGCCTTATGTTTGATTCAAGCCGGATCATTTGAAATCAACCACGTTTTCATGTCAGGTCACTTAACTATGACGTCTTAACCCTCGCCGGCACAGGCCATTTTGCGTCCTTCGACGGCACAAGGGGGGGGGGGGGGTTGGTACGACCCCCCTCGCGTTTGGCCCCTGATCGAGCTAGAGCTTCGCGGAAAAAACGAGCGTGCTGCCCGTCACGAGAGGAAGCCGATGATACCCAATTGTAAGGTCCTAGGTCATCGGGTGACCTTCCAGGTCAGGTCAATGACCCGAAAACCGGGAAAATCGGGACCTGCTAGAAAGTCGTAGTGGCTGCTATGTGGTTTTCCGGGGTGCTGATCACGAATATCGTGTTAGTTTTGATCAGAGATGATGTTTTTAAGCATGTAGACCAGGTCGGGTCAGGTCAGGTCAGGTCAACCGGTAGGGGTTGTGACGGGTATTCGTAATACGTGTCAACCGCCTCTGACAGCTTCGTAACATGTTACGAAGGCACTAAAACTAATTCAGCTCCAAAAAACTAGCCTAAAAACATGTAAAACTCGAAAAAGTGAACCGAGGTCACCCGAGGTCACCAAAGGTCAATGACCTTACCTGACCTTCAGGTGACCTTGACACCCACCCTAATGTATGGGAGCAACATCAAATCACATGTTTGAACGTTTGAAACCACGAAAAGCTTGCAAACGCGCGGCTAATGCGAGCCGACATCGCCGAATCGCGATTTCGGCCAAACATGGTCACGGAAAAGAGGTCACAGGTCAAAGGTCATTGGGGTCAGGGTCATGAAATTTTCAGGGAACGTGTAAAATTGATCAATGCGAGGGTACTGAAAGTTTCTTCGCGATGGGCCGCTTTTTACGCGAGTTATTCGCGAAAAACCTTATGGGGGGGGGGGTTGCATCAACCCCTCCCCCTGTGCCGGCGAGGGTTAAGTAAACCTCTGCAGACTGCACGGTCGTCGGTTGTAAAATGATGCAAATCCGTAATGATGACCTAAAACTATACCTCAAGCACATGAACTCGTGACTTCATACATTCTTGGCAAGGTTTAACCCTCGCCGGCCGAGAAGGGGGGGGGGGGGGGCGGGTGCCACCCCCCCCCCCATAGGGTTTTTGTCGCGATAGCTCCGAACACGCCGGCGATAGAGAGCTGAACCTTGGCATACCTGACCTTTATTTCAAGCCGGATCTTTTGACACCAACCGCATTTTTTAATCAGGTCAGGTCACTGACCTATGACGTCATAAGTGAACCTCTGCACGGTCTTCAGATGTCGCAACTTCGCAACGCCCTCACTGCCAGAGGAGATGTCACAAGGAAATGAAACTTGCAGGATCTAGTATCCATTATGAGTCTCACAACTTTTATATCTCGGATTTTTCCTAAAGGTCATATGAGGTCAGGTCATTTTCGTGACCTCACCATTATAAGTCAATGGGGAAAAATGAAACCTACTATTCTGGCGCCGGGAACGATCTCCAACTATCTCAAGCACACCGAATCGTGATTTGATGCACTCCTTGCAAGGTTAGATGCGTCACTTTTGCAATGTTGACCTTGTGTGACGTCATTTATGACGTCATCAAGGTCATATTAGTTTTTCGTCAATAACTCTTGACAAATTGAGCTAGCGAGTCGGGAAAGCCACCAGTGGACTCAGGAAGACCTGCCGAATCGAATGATATGCGACATGACCTCTTTCAACCAACTTCGTGACCTGGGGGTGCTGACCTGACCTTGACCTGAGGTCAACACCCCAAGTTGACCTGACCCGAACAAAAAGTATATCATTCGACGCGCCTGAGCGAGGCGAACACGATGCTGCCAAAATCGGCGCTCTGCGGCCGTTTTTTGCGAAGTTATTCACCAAAAACTGAACCGTACCTTGGGGCACTTGACCTGACCTCAAAGGTCACCGGTTGACCTAGGACCTTAAAATTGGGTATCAATCTCTGCGTCTCGTAACGGCGCACAC